ACGTTTGTAGAAAAGTTTTTTTGAGAAAGCTACTTTAGGTTACCTTTCTCTAAAATCTCTTTTAATCAGACAAATCACTTCTAGAAAATTATTCAAACATATTTAAAAGTAGTCAAAAACTTTTTAAAAGTCCTACCAAATGGATCTTAAGATAGCTTTAGCTTATTCACGATGTACTTTTATAAGAAGCAGAAGCAAAAACTTTGTTAACAATTGGTTGATGCGGCGTGTAAAGGAATCCGTTTGGCTCTGAAATAATAGGCTGGCCAGCTGCTAATAGATTGTTATAAATTAAGGCAATCGAGGCATTGAATTGCGTCCATTTTCCTTGGATCGGAACTTGTACGTGTCACGGGCTTTAAGGAGTTTGCTTTATTTTTCATGCACCTGTCATGTGCCCAATCCCCTATTATTCTGCCAATGTAACAATTTATGTGCCAAAGGAGAAAATAAATATAGAAAAAGAAAAGTGTTATGTTCCCTTCCTGTTGAAGAAGAAAACATGAGCTGGAAATAGCTTGGAATATCCTTGCTGTTGGGACCGATGATCAATAATGTAGGAATTGAGATTTAATGAGCACCAATTGAAATAATAAAAAAGATCACAAAATATCGAACAATACTTAAAGTAAAGAAGAAAAAGAGAATTTAAGCAGAGGAACGATGATTTTTTTATTAAACCCGACAATATAGAGAGAATTACAACGACATAGCAATTTGACTTAAACTAAACTTAAAGAGGAGCCACATATTTATAGTGCACGAGTCAAACCCTAAAACTAGGCTAAAATATGGAAATTAAGAAAAACCACGTAAAAGAAAGAAATCCGGCGTCCAAATATTATTTCCTTAATTTTGGATGCAATTTATTTCTTTCATTTTTCACTTGGCTCTAATGATTCTTTCCTAAACCAAGACAACACGCAATCTTCCAATTTTTGACCAAATTTTGAGGCACCTAATTAACAATCTCCACCTTGACTCGAAATTCCGGTACAACAAACAAAACTCCAATATTTCAAATTCGTTTGCATCGAAATGGTCAATCCTCTCAACACAGTAATCAAACTCTCTATCACCAAAACTATCGTCCTCTACATGGCTTCCACAATCGACATCCGAACCCAAATCCCGGGTTCCCAAAATTCCACCGAGGAATTATCGTTGACCAAACAGGGTCGAAGCACACCCTGTAACAGAAACTATACCAAATGCACGATCAGAAGACCCCTTGCCAATATTATCACCTTCAATGATTCCTACGGCCTCCCAGACATCTCCAAAACTGTACTTATGCTCCATGAGTCCATTGGCACCACAAGAACACAATGTACCCGCTAAAATTGGTGGCAAAGCAGAATCATCAACACTCCCACGAGCAAAGTTCTTAACTAACCCAGAGCCAAACACGAGAGGTATTGTACCAAATTGAATGTCCACCGCGGTACTGAACTTGTCCAAATGTCTCTGAACTGGTTCTGCACTTCCCTGCAAGATGTACAACTGGGACTTTCTTTGTCTCTCCAGTACAACCCGGATACCCTTTCGAACCTTCAAGACTCCACCTCCACCAGAGAATTTATATCCTTTTGCATCCAAGACACTCAGCGATATGAGATTCTTTGTCAAGTCTAGAACACTGCGAACCTGATCAAGTGTCCTCACTGGCCCATCTTGTAGCCTCAATCTGACCCAACTAATTTCTGCAACCCGACAAGATTAGTTGTTTCTCATGACAACACTACCTTGCTTCATTGTCTCATATGTCTGAAACAAAGTCCTATTAGGATACATATGATATGAACATGCAGAATCTAGAATCCACTTCTCAGGTTTGGATTCCCCATCAAATACAACCAATATTACATCTCCATCATTTGAAAAATTCTCAACAATATTAGTCTCCTTACATGATTGCCCAACATGATTTGCATGTAAATCACCTTTACCCTGCAACTTGTCGCAATCTTTCTTAATGTGTCATTTCCTCTTGCAGTAATAACAATACACATTGTTGTACCTCACATTCGATCTACCACTCCGTTGATCACCAAGAGCAACCAGAGCATCCCTACCCCTAGATGTAGGATCTCCAACCAATAGCTCCATTTTCTCCTTTGAGAACAGGGCGTCATAT